TAATATACACTTGAAATCATAAAATAGCAAGGCTGGGCAAGTTAACTATTTTTTTAAACTCGTTAAGACAAGTTAATATAGAAAAATTAAAAAGTAAGTTAAGTTTAAAGTTAAAAGTTACTTCTATTTTTTTTAACTTGCAAAAGTTACAAGTTAATTAGAAAATAAAAGTAACTTAACTTAGTTAAAAATAAGTTACTTTTTTTTTAGTATAAAATTAATAATTATATATATTATATATCATATGAATATCAAAAGTAAAATAATGCAACCAAAAACTAAGCTTTTCAACAATCATACTTTAACTATCATTATAATAAAACCATGATCATTTATCAAATATTTCAAAACACAATACTTTCAAGTTTCAAAGAAAGCAGTTTGAAACTATGAAAGCTGGAATGTGAAAAATAATTATCGACGACAAGGGACAGACTCGAGACATACAATACGACAGTAAACAATGTGTTCCAAACGGCAAACACTGTGAGCCTGTGAACGAGTGTCGAGTGAACACCAACGTCACCAACACCAAATAAAATAAACAAATTAATAATAACTCGAAATTGTTTTGCCTAAACGTGACGTCATATCATTAAACATGATGGCTACATAATTGTGCCTATGCAAGCATATGATATTAAGACGCGTCTATTAGCTTATAGGGTCGAAGGATAGGACATTAGGTGGTTTGGTATGTGCTCAAAGTGTTCATATGTTACCACAATGGTTATATCCGGTTAACACGTCTTGTGTAATCCTCAAATCTCTATAGCCTACATTGTACAATAAGTGATTACGTCACAATTTAAAAAGTAAAAATAAATTCATTTTTTATTAGTAAAATTATATTATAGACTATAGTTATTAAACTATCATTTATTCATTTGTCAATTTGTTATTACTGGTTTTTAAAAAGAATTAGTTTAGTAAATGTTGACCTAATTCTTAATTGTTTGTTTTTTTATTTTTATTTTGCAAAGTATTATCCATAGACCTATTAACTAGTTAATAGGTCTATGGTATTATCTATGTTTATACTCTGTGTTGATAACATAGTTTTATCATAAACCACTAATGTAACCACATGTAACCAGTGTGGTAACATATATTCTCTTCGGTCACATTATACCGTGTGTATTAAGTATAGGGCAGCACTGTCCTATCCATGTATATATTATCTATGCAACTTCACCATAGTCAAACCGGTATTCTGTGTTTCGGTAACATGGTGGTGGCATTATAGTGTGTTAATGTATACCTAGACGTGACTGGCACAATTCCATATATATATATATATATATAATATTAAGAGTACTAATAGTACTATCTTACATCGTTTTAAATACAATCAGTTACAGACTTTACAGTCCAAAATCCGGGTTAGTTATTACTGATTACACATCTTCTGCAATTCAATGTTTGACTTTGAAAGATAATATTAATCATTGATTATTAATTAAGTTTATTTTTTACGTGGAGACGTGCAGTTTGTAGAGGTTATAACACCTAAAAAGTGATTTTTTTCTTGAAATATTAAAATTTCTCTCTATCTACCAAAGGTTAAGGTTAACTTATAGCTATTATTATATATTAGTTGTCAAAATGGCAATTTTTTTAAGATCATCAGTGTCTAAATCGAAATTGGTTTTTTCACTATCAAAAATTATAACACCTGTAACTTCAATGAAGCTGTCCACATGTAACTTAGAGTACATAATTACTGAAAAAGTTGGCGAGAAACAAAATGTTGGCCTTGTCAAACTTAATAGACCTAAGGCTTTGAATGCATTATGTGATGGTTTGGTCACAGAACTAACTGAAGCCGTATCTGCTTATGACGCTGATGATTCAATTGGAGCTATTGTTGTTACTGGTAGTGAACGTGCATTTGCGGCTGGTGCTGATATCAAGGAAATGCTTGACAAGACTTATTCAACTAACCTAAAAATTGGCTTACTTAAACAATGGGACAATCTGAGTAAATGCAAGAAACCAGTTATTGCTGCTGTTAATGGTTTTGCTCTAGGTGGCGGATGTGAATTAGCAATGATGTGCGACATAATCTATGCTGGAGAAAAAGCTAAATTTGGCCAACCCGAGATTGTGATTGGAACAATTCCTGGAGCTGGTGGTACTCAGCGTATGATACGTTCTTGTGGTAAAAGCTTTGCAATGGAAGTATGTTTATCTGGAAACCAAATTTCTGCCCAAGAAGCTTTAGCTAGAGGATTAGTTAGTAAGGTGTTTCCACCCGAAAATTTAGTAGACGAGGCTATTAAATTAGCTGAAAAAATAAGTGATCATTCGCCTTTAATTGTTGCATTATGTAAAGAATCTGTAAATTATGCATATGAATCAAGTTTAAGCCAAGGTTTACAATTTGAGAAGAAGTCATTCTATGGAACTTTTGCAACAGATGACCGGAAGGAAGGGATGACGGCGTTCGTTGAAAAAAGGAAACCAAACTTTTCTAATAATTAATTTTAAATATAATTCTATTATATAGTATTCAGTACTATTGTTTTTAGTGTTTTTACATTTAAATTTTAATATATCTATTGTTAATTTGTATACACAATATATTTATTATCTTTGTTCAGTGTTTATATCAAACTATTATCACTAAATATGAAGAAAAATTAAAATAGATGTTATTTGTAAGGGAAATTTAGTTAGCTGTGAACTACTTGTGATGTTAATAATACCTACAATAAGATAATAAAATATTTAAAAAAAAGTTTGTTGTACCCTACTGATGATAATGTTATTTTGAAATTTTAATTAATAAGACCAATAAATGTGTAATGAAATTGTAATATTTAAATTTGAGTAAATTCTTAAATACTACAAAAGTTCATTCCCTAGAGCTACCTAACTGGTATATACTTATTACAGTATTATACTGTATTGAAATTTATCATACATATTGATATCATTCTTATTATAATTTAAGAATATGTTCTAAATATATTAGTTAAATTAATGTAAAATATTATTTGCCCAGATATTTAGAAATAAGTGTATACATAGAGCAATTCAAAGTAAATGAAGAATTATTTGAAAATGCGTTAAAAAAGTTTTTGATATTGCCTCCAATTTTTTTAACTGATTTACAAACATTAATCGTTGTTTTAAAACTAATACACTTTGCATTGGCAAAAAGTATGTATCTTTATAATTAGATAAAATAAATTACCTTGATCCTCATTTTTTTTTTAATATTTCTAGGAGTATTAATTAATAAATTAAATTGGGTAGCTGAAATATTAACTAAGTCCAAATCTATGCATCACAATATGGCGGATGATTTTAAAAATGATGACAAATCAAAACAATTGGTTTGTAATTAATATTATATAGATAACATGTATATTTTTTCAAGTTAATAATAATATTTTTGTTTTCCAGTGTAATCAATTTTTTATTGAACTTTATGAGGTATATTGGCTTTGTTTAAAAAACTATAGCCAATTTTCAACATTAAATTTAACAAAACTATTATTTGATCGATTGGCATCTACAAAAAAAGAAATTGGTATAAAAATATTTATAACTATATTTAACTGTTGAATATCGCAAACCCATTTAAATCTAAATATACGGTGTAATTCAGTGAGTGCTCATCCCTCATCTCAATTCTCTATTTATCTAAATTTTAGATTCTGAGCGGAGCGATGGATGTATTGATTTTACAATATGTTTTTTTGTTTTTGTGGTGCACACAATAAGTTAGATTTTCCAGGTTGAAAAGTGAATCTAGTTGGTGCATTGGAGATGGAAATTCCCTGTAATTTTCAAAAGCACAGAGAAAAACAAAATAAGAAAAAACGAGAATTTTAAGCCAAATCAATTTTTGAGAAATTTGGTTTTAGATATTGGTATAACTCTAAAACAAATTACCGTAGACACTTAAAATTTTCACTGAATGTTTAAACTGGAATTTTCTATACTTATTATTAATAGCTAATGTAGTTAATGATGACTTATATATATTAATACTTTATAATACATTGTATATACCTACTATAAATAACTGAGTGAGTGAGATTTTTTATATGGTTGTAATTCAAAAAATAATCACTGTAAATACTTGAAATTTTCACCAAATGTTTATGTTAGTGTTATATATATACAGTTTAATTTTCAAAAAATTTGACTTTTTTTAAGTTATTTATAGACAATTGAAAGTATCGGTTAAAAATTTCGGATGACCAAAAAAAACTTGAAAACTTAATACACGGTTTCTATTGTTCTTATTGTAGCTAAAAAAAATTAAAAATCGTTAGTCACAATTTTTTTTTTATAAGCGTTTATAGTTCAAATTTTTACGAAATATGTTGAAAACGCGAAAATTTGCAAGTAATTTTAAAGTTGAAAAATCATAAAAATTTTTCTGTTTATAACTAAGGATTAAAAATATAACACTAAGTTTTTCTTTAAGTAGCTATAGAGAAATCTCTAAGCGTCGTTATAGGAAAAATTTAAAGTGCTTTTGAATTTTAAATTTTTTCGAAATAGCGTAACGATAACGATATATCCTCAAACGATTTTAAACATTTGTTATTATTCAAAAAGTATAAGTCGTAGATACTTGAAAATTTACCAGTTATTTAGATTGGCATTTTCTTTATATGATTTAATTTTCAAAATATTTTGACTTTTTTGAGGTATTTATAGACAACTGAAATTTTCAATTTTCTGAAAAAATTTTTTGAAGGGTTGATAAAATTTTTTCGGCCCAATCAAAATACTTGAAAATTGAATACAAAGTTCCTCATAAGTTATTCTTATAGTTATTAAAAAATTATGAAAATACGTAGGCAATTTTTTTTTATTAGCATTTGAAGTTCAAATATTGACTAAATACGTAAAAATTACGAAAATTCGCAAATTTTTTTAAGCTAGAAATTTATACAAAATTTTCTTTTTAATTCAAAGATTTGAAAATTTTTAATTATCTATAACAGGGGTCGGCAATAGGCGGCCCGCGGGTCATGTCCGGCCCGCGGAAGGGAAATAACTGGACCGCCAAAAATTATCTTAATTTTCCCATATATATAGGATATATATCACTCCCCCTCCGTTCATAACAAAAATTAAACCAATATTGAAATCGATTTCATTAGGCGCTGAGACAATAATAACGGTTTATGATTATCTGTATTCTGAGTTGTTGTTGAACGTGCCACAGTCATGGCTGCGGGMCGAGTCGCTTGCATTCGCGCGCGCGCGCGTGTGTGTGTAAAATACAATATTCAGAGGCGATCTATTTTTATGATTTATTAGGAAATTACGATAGCATTCATCGTATACCGCTGTTTATAATAATAGTCACGATAACAGAACACCATACATTGAACCTACTTCTTGAAACTTAGCTCAAGAAAAGAAATGTCATTTTTCTCATTAATACAATTTTGTTATTATTAGTATGAATGTATAATTACTTTATAAATAATTAAATACTTTGTCTTAAAATGTTTTTAATACAAAAATAAATACATTAATGATAAAATTAAGTTTAAGATTTTTTTGGCCCTCGAAATTTTTTTTTTTTAATATTTGGACCGCCATATAAATTAATTGCCGACCCCTGATCTATAATATATCCTAGACTGACAAATAATCTCCGTTCAGAATCGTTTTTCATATACAATGATACCTATCATTGCATTCAAATCTAACCTACCCTAGTCAGAGGTCCATCCCACCACCTATGTACAGCAGAGCGATACCCACTTTCCCGTTTTTTTTTTAAAAAATTAATATAGATAAAAATTTATTTGTTTGGCAGAAAAGCTTGAAAATTTAATACAAGGCTCTTAACATATTGTTACAATAGCAGTTGAAAAATAAAAGAAATTCATAGTCACAATTTTTTTTATAAGCATTCAAAGTTTGAATTTTGACAAAATACGTAAAAATCACAAAATATTTTAAGCTAGAAATTCATAAAAATTTTTCTTTTTAAATCTAAGATTTGAAAATTTTTAATAATCTATAATATATCCTAGACAGATAAACCATCTTTTCTCAGAATCGTTTTTCGTATACAATGATATAATATCATTGGATTCAAATTTAATTCCATCCATTACAGTAACCCACTTGTAACCTACTGTACAGCAGAGCGACATCCAAGACTTACCCGCCTTTTTTAATAATAACAATATAATAAATTAATAATATGGTATAATATATCCTAGTCTGATAAACCACCTCCACTCAGAATCGTTTTTCGTATTCAATGATATTATATCATTGAATTAAAATTTAATATCATTCATTACCTACAGTAACGTACTGTAGAGCAGAACGACATCCTTTTGAATTAGAGTATATTATTATTAATTATATTTAAGATGATATTTTAAAATATTTAGATTTTTATTCCATTTAAGTATTCTGTCATCATAAATCAATAGTTTTTTCACACAAGAACCTTTTCGACACCCTTTTTACTGTAAACTAATAAGCAGAAAAGAAAAAAAAATATTAAGTGTATTTTTTTATGCTTATAATGATTCTAGTCTTACATAAATTATAAAATATATTATGTAATATTTAGTCTACTAGTTAAATGCTCATTACACTCAGAAAATTGTATAAATTATAAAAATGTAAAGAAATTACTTTAATTTTAAAATCATCATTGCCTTAAAATTCTTTTCATGATTATTATTGTAGGGAATATCCTTATGTACATAAAGTTTAATAATTCAGAGACTACTTCAGATTTTTATAAATCAAAACTTTCATAAAAATCATTTTGCTTAACAATTTACAGTAGGAAAAAAAGTTTATAAGATCATATTGTTAGAAAATATCTCTAAAAGTTATGAAAATCTAAATATTATTGAAGATAGGTGTTCTAAAAAATGTCACGAATCACAACTTGTAAAATTTATATTTAAAAAAAAAAATATGAATGAGCAAATTGGTGAATCACTGAATGTATATTTAAAATAGATATTATTATAATATAGTACACTTAATTTTTTTTTTTTATGAATTATACATTTTTATTGTCTTTAAAATAATGTCTAGTATTTGTTAAAACTAAAATTGTTCAACATAAATTTTAAATACCTATTTAATAAAAGAAATTTTTTTATAGATATATCAACAAATATCTTGTGAAAACAATAAGTTATTGAAATGAATCTAACATTTAAATATATAGTACTCAACAATTATTAATTGTTTCATTGTTTGCATAATACTAATAGTATATGAATTTTTTTTCAGTTTTATTTCAAATTAATATGAAGTGTCTTACTTTATTGACTGAAAATCCAAAAAATATAGATAAAGACCTTGTAAAAACATATTTATCTCAATTTATTTCATTTAAAACAATACTGATGAATAACTCAAATGAAAAAAATTTGCAACGAAGTTATTTGACTGTATTGAATCACATCCTTCACTATACAATTTTAGTACCAAATGTAAAATAAATATTCAGTTTATTGCTGTATTCCCAAGTTTAATGCATATTATTATTAAAATATTATTTTACTAATAGATTTCTGAAGTATGGTGTATGTACGACTGGGAAACATGGACATGGTCAATGATACACTGTACTGATTTATTAGTACGTGCTCTAGTCTTTCAATTTTCAGCTGGCTTGGCTGTTATTGATATTCCAGTATCACATAATTTAATTCACCTTGCGTTAAAGTAAATATTTTAGTGTTTTACCTCATTTATTTTTTCACTGCTATACTATTTATGCTTGCCTACCTATGTATGCTATATAAAATAACAAAGAATAAAT